GGCACCCTCAGGGACTAATATCGTTTCTCACAATCTTAACCCTTGACACGTCGTCAAGTCGGTTTCATTTTCAGTCAAATCCTCGACACGTCGTCGAGCTACTCCAAAACAACTTCCTTTTGGCCTCGTATGCCATTTTTCGATTCGATCTTTTCACATACGTTTTTTTAAACTTACGAAAGAGGGATATTCTTAGAATCTAGCATTCTTTGAATATTCGAATGAGTAACTTTCGAGGCGCGCCCTTGAGTTGTTATTAATTCATTCTTTTGATTTCAAAACATCCAACTCTTTATCTTCAACTTATTCAGTCAATTCCCGAAAGAACTGAGTTCTTGGAATCTCGCATTTCTTGAACTCTTAAGTGACAAGCTCTTGAGATGCGCTCTTGGGTTGCTTGTCAGTCACTCTTTCGCCTCTTTCTCAAACTTAACTTTAACCCATTCAACCTCATTCTTTTCGTGGTTGTTACCACGAACTACGATTGCTCTGATTCTTCATTCTCGTTTGAATGTAAGATACGTAGGCACAAGATTGCGATGATCTTGGCGAGCACATTTCCCTCCATCTCCCGTTTCCCCCATTCCTTCCCGTAGTCGAACTACGACGCTCTGATTTCTCATTCTCGTCCGAATGAGCATACGTAGGCACAAGGGCCCCAATCCTTGGCGAGCACCCTATCATCTAACCACCCATCTCTCCTTAGCGTCTTTAACCTTTTAACTTACCAATTCTACCTTTAACAACGAGAAGAAAACAAGTAAACCTAAACAACACTCCCCACAAAATACCTTAAGAGGTTCCCGTCGAGTACGACGGACGTGAGGGGTGCTAATACCTTCCCCTCACGTAACCGACTCCCGAACCCGGAACATGGTTGCGACAGCCCTGTTCCTATCCTTTTCATTTTAAGAGGTTTTCTCGATATTTTCCTCTCCCGTTTATTCGGGATAAATAAAGTTCGCTGGCGACTCTGTCGAACCACATTTCCGCGCCTTTTGCGCGAGGGTCGTTTCTCCGAAATGTCTCCGTGATTTTTCGAGGTGCGACACCATGGTTTGTGACAAGGTCTGAACGATTTGTAGGTTACTTTCATCCATTTGCTGTCTCAAACAGGCAACTGAGGTGTTTGTCAAATTGGGACCTTGCGTCGAATACCCTAAGCTCTGGCTTTGGGGATTTCGACCCATGTTCACGCCTGACCCTGACCCCTGTAATGGCGAAGCCATTGCCTGATCTGAGAATATGGGGGGTGCACTTTGGAGCCCCTGCATCATAGCGGTGGGCATCCCATATGGGGGATTTCTTGGTGACTGTGAAAAACCAGGGGCACCGAACTGCCTGGAAGTCGAACTTCCCCCTAACAAAATCTGAGGATTCGACGTTTGATGGCCAATATATTCCAATACTAGTTGACTATAAGGTCTTATCACCGTCGATCCAGCCCCAAGTATGGAGGGTGTCGGTACTGGCCTCACAGGAAGCATCGTTTGTTCTCCGTTCCACGGTATCGGAGGGGGAACTCCATCGTCTCTTATTCCCTCAATGGAACCGTCTCCCTGACGGTTGGGATTATCTGGCTGGTTCGTATCCGTAGCCATATTCCTAATGTTTCTTCTTGGTCGTCTTTCTTCGTTTACAGCGGTAACTCTACCACTTCTCAGTAACATAAAATGCACTTCTCACGAAAGGGACCAACACAACCACAAAATTTTTGTAAATTTAGTTTTTTAAAAGAAGACTTTTAGCACTGTCCCACTGGGCGTGCCATTTTGTTTCCCTTGAAAATCGAAAAACAACCGCTGATCTTCCAAATCTAACTTTGGTGACTCACAGGATCGATCAGATTGATCCTAGGACATGTGCTAAAGGCTTTTTATTTTGGAAATCTATCTAAGTTTCACACTTAAACAATATTGGGGTAAACGAATCTAAAGAAACACCTTGTTCGACTATAGAATAACTTAAAAGATAAAATAAAGCTTTCAATAAAAGAAAGAAAGAAGTTTGTTTGGAAAGGGGAAATTAGATTAAGGGCGAAGAGAAAGGAATTGCATAAGAAAAAGAGGAGAAAGAAAGAAAGTAAGGAAGAAAGGTGCAAAGACAATAAAAGACTTTGTAAAGTTTAAAGCAAGTAAAGTAAATTTCATTAAGATAAAAGATGGTGTGTTTACATCACGTACATTCTCTATAATACTCGTTTTCTCTACGCTCGGATACTTTGAGTAATTTTAAGAGTAATTTGTACAATGGTAAATTACAACACACTCTGCTTATGTCTAAGACATCCTATTTATAGTAGTAAAAAATAACTTCTAATAACTTCCAACATCACCTCCTCTCGCCACTTGTCACAATGCATGGATCTACTACTCATAAGGTGCCACGTGTCTTCTTAAGTATTTGGCAAACGAAATCGTTCCCTCCAAAACTTTTGAATTTCAAACCTTTCGACAAACCACCAACAACAGCAAACGGTCGAAGTCCTTGTTTCTCTTTTAATCTGGGTGAGTTCTTCGACTCCTTCCTTTAGCTGCTTTACACCTTTCGTCCAACTTTCGTTCTTTACTTGTCCTTGGCATTTTATCTTGAATTTCTTTCTTTTGCATGGGGCGTCGAATTTAGGAGCTAACACTATGTTGGCTTGATCATATTAAAATGCATAACTTTCATTTTTGCTTCAAACCTTATGCCCGCAACTCATTTTTATTAGAAAACGCCGATTGCACTTTCTAGATCATTTTTCTACTCCCATATCACACCCATCACATTTTTATTTATATTTTGGTGAAAATTGTATTATTTGTATTTTTTTAAAACAAATTATGTATCATGGAAACATTATAGATTATTTGATTAATGTGTGATTTCAAATATATATATATATATATATATATATATATATATATATATATATATATATATATATATATATATATATATATATATATATATATATATATATATATATATATATATATATATATATATATATATATATATATATATATATATATGGCATCTAAGGGTGAAAACCGAGCATGTTCGCCTCGTTTTAGTCCGCACCGCAAAATCTCACAAAAAAACGGGATGAGATGAACATAGTTGAGGGTGTAAGTCTGCGCTAAAGTACGGACGAGACAAAAGCAGACTTGTGAACATTTGACCTTTAAAACCTAATAATACAAAAATTTATGTTAATATTCATCCCCACAAAAATAAACGGAGCAAGGCACAGACACTTTAGAGAGTGTGTACCTAAACACTTGAACCATTTTATACTAAAATGTTGATAAAACACGCATGCCTAAATGATTGGGTCTATTTTACCATCTCTAATGACATGTTTAAATTATATTAATGGAATAATATTATGATATCATTAGTATAAATTAAGTAAATATAAACTGGCCAAAAAATATCAATTTCACTACCTAGAACTAAGGAAAAATATCAATTTCACTGCCTAGAACTAAGAATTTTCTATGTATGCATTTGCAAACTTACAAAATTACCACTGAGCTATGTAAAAACACCCTTCAAACAGCTCAAAATGTTTTCAAGCGTTAGTCGAGAGATGCAAAAATACGAAAGTGAATCGCAGGACTATTTCTTTGGCTAAAATGGAGTGGACAAATCACACTTATAAAATGTCAATGTATAATTAGGTGCGCACGAATATACAATGATATCTTTGGACTTCCAAAGAGGAATATAATTCACGACTCAAAATATTACATTACTAGCTTACCAAAGTATATCAAATTCCAGTTTACTATTGTTCACTATGGTGTGTTGTGTCTAGAAATGAGTTATTGAAATGTTTAAACTAAGTAGATGGACAAAGTTACTGCAAGTGGCTATTTTCGAAAAAGTTTTTAAGTATTTCTGAAACAAATTTATTTATAAAATTGATGTATATACATCATATTTTTGTATCTTTATTTTTTGGAAATAAATTTTTGAAATTTTTTCAAAAATAAAATTTCAAAAACTTATCAAAGATTTATTTCTGAAACAAATTTATTCATAAAATTAATTTATGACTTAAAAACAAATAAAATATGTTTGAAGATACATTTTCGAAAACAGATAACATTTTTAAAATTTTGCACACTAAAATTAAAAACATATAAGATGCTTTAAAAAAAATTCTCTCATTTTAAAATAACCAAACCCTCCCGCCCATTTGAATTTAATATTTAAATCAGATTCGTACAAGTCCAAGGTCGAACATTTCCAAAAACAAAAGTTATTAAACTAAAGTTTATACTTTAGTCCTATGATATGATAAAAAGAGAAGACTTTATGAATCTTAAAGGATCCTATTTCTATTTTTCATTAATTTAAATATTCTTATAAATTATAGTTATATATTATGGTTAATGGAATAATTAGAAAAATTGAGATATAATAATTACTGAAAATTAATAAAATATAAAATTTTCTTGTCAAATTATTTAATAACTAAATTTTCTATTTAAAGGTAACAAATAGAATGTTACATTATCAAACTCAGTCCCTAAACAACTATCTACTTAACTCAGCTAACTTAACGGATCTGATAGGCAAAGTTAAAAAGGTTAAAGTTGTTTTAACAAATTCATTCTTGTAATGTAATATAAGATTATAATTACAAATATGATGTGGTAAGACTCGGAAGCAAAGACAAATTAGTTGTTTCAACAAAATAATAAATATTTGAGATTTTTTAGACAGTCAAAAGCCAGAGATTAAAATTAACAAGTCATGGTGAAATCACAAAAACTAAAGGGAAAACCAGAACTCATCCAAATGACAAGGGCAAAAACACTTCTAACCCTAATTTAAATTATAAAATGACAAATGAAATATTTTTATTAACATAGGAATATAATAACAATGCACTTTGGAACAAAACGTCATTCTTATCAAGAAAAGGGGCTGATCAACCAGCTCTGTTAACTAGACCAAATGTAACTATACAGTGTACATATAAATTCATCCTTCCATAACAACTACTAATCTTCTGAACCAAGAACTTGTTCCTTGAGTCCCTCTATTATAGAGGACAGTTCATCTCTATTTCTCTGCAGTTTAAGGCATGGTTAATAATCTTCTATATAACTAACATGTGCATATCATCAAATATCACTAAAATTAGGTACTCACCTTGAAAAGCAAATATCGGTAAGTAAACCATAATGAATATCCAAGCCCTACAACTTCAAACAGTTTGGGAATCTGGCATAAGAATGAACCACAAAAGGTTAGTATTAACCAAGTTGGTTTTTTGAATTAGAAATCTTAGCTGATTTAACAACAGAAACACACCAATGGGATAGAATCAATAGCACCAATGACAGCTGAAGTTAGCCACAGAGTCACTATAGCACCGCCACCGTACACAGCAAGAGAGGCAGTGTCATCTAAGTCAATCTGTAAAAATTAAAAATAATGTTAAGACCATGTTCACAACATCAAATATGAAACAATTTTGAATGACACCATTCATTCAAAGATAAAATTAAATCACACCACAGCAGTGGATTCAGGGTGAAGGAATAATAACTTTAGAAAGACTCTACTCTGCTCAGGAAAGCATCTTTATCAATCAAGCAAATAGATGAGAATTAATAAAATTTAGAGTCTGCTCAGGTAACCGCTCAGGTTTGACATGAATGCCAAAGTATCATTAAAGCATTCTATGAATGCCATCAATGAACTGAGTTTTCATCATAGCAGTATGGAAATCAAGCCAATCTAAAACAGTGGAAACATAAAATACATGAGAATTGATAAAATTAAGAGTTTGCTCAGGTAACCGCTCAGGTTCGACACGAATGCCGAAGTATCATAAAGCATTCTATGAATGCCATCAATGAACTGAGTTTTCATCATAGCAATATGGAAATCAAACCAATCTAAAACAGTGGAAACATAAAATACATGAGAATTAATAGAATTTACAGTTAGCTCAGATAACCGCTCAGGTTCGACATGAATGCCGAAGTATCATAAGTCACTCTATGAATGCCATAAACAAACTGAGATTTCATCATAGCAACAGAATATGGAAATCAAATCAATCTAAAACAGTGGAAACATGAAATGCATGAGCATTAATAAAATTAGTTTGCTCAGGTAACCGCTCAGGTTCGACACGAATGCCAAAGTATTATAAGGCACTCTATGAATGCCATCAATAAACTGAGTTTCATCAAAACAGAAGAGGGAAATCAAACAAATCTAAAACAGTGGAAACATAAAATACGTGAGAATTAATAGAACTTAAACAGAATATGGAAATCAAACAAATCTAAAACAGTCCTAACATAAAACACGTGAGAATTAATAGAATTTGAGGTTTGCTCAGGTAACCGCTCAGGTTTGACAAGACTGCCAAAGTATCACAAGGTACTCTATGAATGCCATCAATAAACTGAGTTTTCATCACAGCAACAGAATACGGAAATCAAATCAAGATAAAAACAGTGGAAACATGAAATACATGAGAATTAATAGAATTTAAAGTTTGCTCAGGTAACCGCTCAGATTTGACATGAATGCCAAAGTATCACAAGGCACTCTACGAATGCCATCAATAAACTGAGTTTCCATCACAGCAACCGAATACGGAAAAAAATCAAGATAAAACAGTGGAAACATGAAATACATGAGAATTAATAGAACTTAAAGTTTGCTCAGGTAACCGCTCAGATTCGACATGAATGCCAAAGTATCAGAAAGCACTCTATGAATGCCATCAATAAACTGAGTTTCATCATAGCAAGACGACATGGAAACATAAATCATTATAAAACTGAAAAACAAACACAAACATCATCATTAATACATCAAAACTCACACACACCACGCTAGTGTGCATATAGTTAAACAGATTACAAAAAACTACACTGAACCATCTATCCCCAAATGGAAAGAAAAACAGAGTTTTCACAATATGACATAACTAATAGTTGCTCAGGTAACCGCTCAGATTCAACATAAATGCCGAAGTATCATCAAGCAATCTATGAATGCCATCAATAAACTGAGTTTCATCATAGCAACATAGCATGGAAATAGAAACCAATCTAAAAAACAAAAAATAATAAAACTTATAGGTTTCTCAGGTAACCGCTCAGATTCCACATAAAGCCGAGGTATCACCCAGCCTTCTATGCATACTGTCAATAAACTATAGTACTCCATACTAGCAACTCAACATGGCAATAAAAACAGTAGACAGAAAAAACACATGAATCAAAAATCAGTCACTTCTCTTAGATTCAAATACACATTCAATACTCAAATTAGTATTTAAGGGAAAGGCAAAGCAACCTTTAAATTAAGCTTTTCAAGCAAATCCAACGGCAGGCTTTCTCCATCCGAAGGCAACTCTTCCTTTGGTTCTTCATTCTCCACAGTTCCATTGTAGCCATTTTTACCAGCCTCTAAAGTTATCACACCATCACGTTTCTCGTTGAAAAATGTACCTGCACCACTTGATGTTTCCTCAGACGCTGTTGCCCTTAAATTTCTAAGGAAAATTGAGCCTGAAATAATACATAACACAAATTAAAACTCAGCACTTTCTCTTCAATAATAAGCAATTAAAGAAAAGGAAATTCTGACAATAAACACAACAACCCATTTGCTACAGCACAAAACATAATTAACACAAGAGTAGGTATCAAATTGAGTTACCCACGAGCAAAACGACGTGCATTTAAACAATATTAATATATAAAACGACAGTGAAATGGAGAATAAAAAAACAAAACCCTAGTTTCTGGTTAAGAGTGAATATTAATTGAAAAAAATTGGAGAACTTACGAGATGAGAGTATACGATTGGGAGTAAAAGAGGGTTTATGGCGAAATGCGAAGGAATCGGGAAGTTTAGAAAGAGTGAGAGGCTGAACTGTACAATGCACCATTGTGAATTGTGAACAAGCCGAGGAAGGGGTTGGGGAATTGAAATGGAATTTCTAGCCAGTTATATACAAAATGGCTTCTAGGGTTTTCAAGGTTTTTCAAGGTTTTTAATTGTTTTTCTCGGTTTTCTCCGACACACCGACTGATTTTCTTTTTCTTAGAAATAATATACTTTATAAACAAACAATATATAACAAAGGTTCAATTCTAGTGTTTCGTAATGCACTATCAGTGTGTGTGTATATATATATATATAGTCAGCCAATCACAATCATGTATTAATATATTTTTATTTTAAAATACTAATATTATATTATAATAATATATATTTTAATTGATTGCATATATATATATATATATATATATATATATATATATATATATATATATATATATATATATATATATATATATATATATATATATATATATATATATATATATATATATATATATATATATATATATATATATATATATGCAATCAATTAAAATATATATTATTATAATATAATATTAATATTTTAAAATAAAAATATATTAATACATGATTGTGATTGGCTGAGAGTATAAAATATTTTACAAACATTTTCTTTTTTCTCATATAACAAACTATAAAACATGTTTTAACCATTTTAAACGATTTTCTATGTTAATATGTAAAATAAAAATTCCAAAGTCTTTGCAATTCATCAATAAAATTTGTGAATATTTGGGTTTTGAAGTTCTTCTTGGGTTTGAAGAAAATTTCAAATTTCGAGATTTCTAAAAAGCACTTAGTTTTTTTTATTTTTAAATTTGATCGGAAGAGAAATTACTTCTACGATTTATATATATTGGTCTCCAGAGCTTTGACCAACTTCAGGAAACAGGCTTGATATCAATTGTTGGTGCAAAGGTGAATAAATGATGAACAAAGAAAGGAAATATTCTATTAAGAATGACGGCTACAAAACATGATTTTTGGTTACAATGATTGTCACCCTATTTATAAGCTAAAACTAGGGTTACTAGAATAAGATAAATACTAAAATACCCTCTAACAAACTTATGGGCTTAAGAAAGTAATATAATAAAATATGAATTATTACTAATACCATCCCTTAATTCATATTCCATCAAAACTTGTAGAGTTTTAGTATTTATCGGTGGCTATTGAGTGTGTTAAAAAATTATGTCTCAACTTTCTTGTAGTTATCATTAGGATAAAACCTTTTTTTTTATTTTTTAGCAGACTTTAGAATTTGCTAACACCTTTGAGATAAAGCATACATAACTCTAGTTGTGTCTACCTTAACGCCTTTGAGATAAAGTATACATAACTCTAGTTGGTGTCTACCTCCCTAACGAGGATGACAATTATTATTTCTGATGAGACTGCAAAATAGATGAATTATGTTTATCTAGTCATGAATCTTAATAAAACTTTGGTTAGAGAGGTCTACCTTTAATTGCATGAAGGCTTGTCTGTGATTTAACGTTCACTTAAATTATATTTTTTTCTCAGTAGTTTGTAGAATGAAATAACATGATGGACAAATTTTGAATATTTCGTTAAGATAGTTTTCATGAAGTTCTTTCTCGTCATACATGAATATCATATTGTCCATCATATCGCTAGTCTCTTACTCAAACACTTTATTCATTATCATTTGGTATATTGTATCTGCATTTTCCAAACCAAAGTGTTAGGTTGAATATGAGAGTATAGTGGTCTAGAAGAAGGAGGTGAATAGACCTTCCCCTAATAAAATTTATTTTCAAAAATGTTTTAAAACTACAGTTTTCAAAATGTAGGTGAGTGGCAGTTTTTAGAAAGTATGTGTTATGGATCGAGTTAACTAATTGTTTAATGATCAGACAATCACTACTACAGAAATGATTTTTGGCAGCGCAGAAAAGACAACGCTTTTTGCAAAAGCGCTGCTAAAGAGTTAGGAAAAAAAGGAAAAAAATAGCAGACTTTAGACAGCGCTTTTAGAAAAGCGCTGCTAAAGGTGGCAGCTATGGTTAACAATAGAAAGCGCTGCTAAAAGTAGGCCCTACGAAAGCGCATTCTAAAAGCGCTGCTATAGGTGTAACCTACGAAAGCGCTTTCTAAAAGCGCTGCTATAGGTCTTACCTAAGGCAGACCTTAGAAATCGCTTTTACAAAAGCGCTGCTATAGGTAGGCATGACAAACAAACCCGGGCCCGCCCTGAAATTAACGGGGAAAACCCGATTTAATTGGGTGCGAGTGCGGGTGCAGGGAGACACTAAGACCCGCCCGCCCCCGCCCCCGTCCGAATACTCCAATTTTACTTTAATACCTTTATTTTAATTATTTCAATATTAATTTATTTTCTCAAATATATATTCTAAAACTAAATTAATTAAAATAGTAATGAAAAAATCTAAGAAAACCCTTTTCATTTTCTCTTATCTTCTCAACACAGACTGTTAGCCTCTCATCTAGTCATCTCAACACACAATCGTGAATCTCTCATCTCCCTGTCAACACAGAATCTTGAATCTACCATTTCTCTTCCCGATTTCTCAAATCAACCGTAAGATAATTTATCTCTCATTCTCTTTCGATTTTATGTCTTTCAATAGATCTATTGTTTCATTCAGTTTTGGGTTTTCTGGGTAGTTAAGTATTAATTGAAAACTCTATATTATGTTTGATGAGTATATGTTTTTTCTCTCTTGATAATTTTTTCTTTCTTCAATTTATTTATTGGATCTATGTTTTTGCTCCTCCATTGATTTTCTATGTTTATTGTAGTCCTCGGTGATTTTGGTTTTGAATGAAGATACCACAAATTATTTAGGTTTTGTTGTTGATAGCTATAAGCTGAAAAGCTTTACTACTTCTATTTAAATTCAGAAAAAATAGAACATAATTTGGCATGGTTTCACACATTCACACCATACTTACCCTTAATTTTTGTCTAAATTTGTTACTTTTTTTACTACTAATATATTTATTAGTTAATATTTGATTTTATCAATTTTAAATTATTATTTCTTGCTAATATACGTATAAGTTAATATTTGATACATATTAATACATTACTTTGTCAAATTTATCATCAAGTGTATCCACATTGATGACACATTCTACCGGGCAGCATTCCTTATAATATTTCACCTTTATGACTCTAGAGTCTGGACTGGACACTGTCTGTATTAGAATTGGCCATTGCTAAGTTCTAAAATGTGGATGGACTTGGAGTGGTATTGGATATTAAGAGTTAGACTGATGATAATGTTATGTCATTTTATTTAACATTATGCAGATGAGGAAATACTAACTATGTAAACACTTTCTGTGTAAATTTGTTACTTTTTTTTACTGCTAATATATTTATTAGTTAATATTTGATTTTATCAATTTTAAATTATTATTTTTTGCTAATATACGTATAAGTTAATATTTGATATTTATAAGTTAATATTTGATACTTATAAGTTAATATTTGATTTTATCAATTTTAAATTAATATACTTATTAAATTATTTTAATTCAATTAACATAATCACTCCAAACCTTCCAAAAACTAACAGTCACACCTAATTACTTATTCATGCTAACAAAATTCCAATTAGCTATGATAGAAGCAAAAGCAATTTTAGTATTCAAATTATCCATAATTGTCAGAGCATAAATGTCATTATGTAAGATTAACAACTTACCAAACCATTTGAATTAAGTTATTATTAGCAGAGCATAAATGTCATTATGTCACTCTAATAAATACTGCTTTTAAATTTTTCTATACTGTTGAATTTTATAGGAGTTGTTGTAGTTGAATTTTTCTATACTGCTATTAAAATTTTCCATATTGCTATTAAATTAATTTTAGTTTGTCATTGATTTTAGTTTGTTTTTAGGGACAACTCAACTGGATAATTAGTCATGAAAAATGATGGTACCTGTCAAACACAATGTCCACCTATCTCACAAGAAAGTACACATCAACTAATTCCCAATGAAAGTGGTAATCTATCAATTGAAGCTCCTCCTCCCACACCAAATGATAATATGGAGGTTGATAGCCAAACAACCGAAAATCGTCAATCCAAACTTAAAAGTATTGTATGGGATCATTTTACAAAGGTCAAAGTTGGTGAAAAAGTTAAGGCTAAGTGTAATTATTGCTCAAAGTTGCTTAATGGTTCATCAAATGATGGGACAACACATTTAAAAGGACATGGATTATTGTCCTAAAAAGAAGCTTTTGAAACCATCTGAGAAAGGACAAACATTTCTTACGCCTAAAACCATGCAAGGTAAACAAGAGTTGAGTACTGGAATTTATGATGCAGAAATTGCTAAGAAAGAGCTTGCACATGCAATTATTTTGCATGAATATCCGCTTTCAATAGTGGATCATATTGGTTTTAGAAGATACTCAGCTTCTCTCCAACCATTATTCCAAGTTCCTTGTAGAAATACCATAAAAAAGGAGATACTCAAAGTGTACAATTTGGAAAGATCGTCAACTTTGAAGTTGTTAGAAAATCTTGAAGGAAGAGTGGCAATTACTTCTGACTTATGGACCTCTATATGGCTGTCACTGCTCATTACATTGATGGAAACTGGAATTTACAGAGTCACATTTTTGAGGTAAATCTAATTTCTTCTAATAATAGCTTAATTGCATATCATTTATACTAGTTTTGTGAATCTTATTATGTTAGGTTTATTTATGTTCCTGCACCTCATACTAGTGAAAAACTTTGTGGTGCATTGGTTGAATGTTTGATGGATTTGAACATTGATACAAAATTGTCTACTATCACTTTGGACAATTGTAGCACAAATGATGCCATGATTGAAAAAGTTAAGGCTGAGTTGAAACCGGAAACAATGTTAAGGGATGGGGCCTTACTTCATATGCGTTGTTGTGCACATATACTAAATTTGATAGTAAAAGAAGGGTTAGAAGTTGTGAAAGATGGGATAGAGAAGATTCGAGACAGTGTTGCATTTTGGACTGCAATACCTAAAAGGAAGGAAAGGTTTAAGGAGACATCCAAACAGTTAAAAATACCTTGCACCAAGAATTTAGTTTTAGATTGTCCGACTAGATGGAATTCTACCTACAAGATGCTTGATGTTGCTATTTTGTGTGAAAATGTATTTAATAGATTAGCAATCCGTGTAACTCAGTACACTTGTTTGCCAACAAGTTTACAATGGAAATTTGCAAAAGAGATTTGTGGAAAATTGAAATTGTTTAATTCTATCACTGAAGTATTTTATGGAACAAAGTATCCAACTGCCAATGAATACTTTCCTAAAATTTGTCAAATTAAAGTTGCATTACTTGACTGGATTGAATCCTCTGATGAATTGGTAAAAAGAATGGCAGAAAACATGTTGGTAAAGTTTGAAAAATATTGGAGTGTGATTCATGAAATAATGGGTGTTGCCGCTGTTTTGGATCCTAGGTACAAAACCGATTTGCTTGAATATTACTATGGAGTCTTCTATGGGAATGATGTTGACTTCCAAGTTAAGTCAATCAGACAGGTGTGCTACGAGTTGCTTTATGATTATCAATCAAAAATGACCAACGAATCTAGAAGTGAATCTCAAACGTTGGATGCTAATGTTGATACTGTTAGTAACGATGGTTTGAAAGACTATTATTTGTATGTCATACTGTAGGGCTGGCAATGAATTGAACCAACTTGAAAATAGTTCGGAATTCGATTCAACAATTAAATCGTTGAACTAGGTTCATGAACCAAATGAGTTGAGTATGAGCGAAAAATTAAGTTCGTTAACTAAATGAGCTGAATTTGAACTATACATAGTTCGACTCGTTAGGTTCATGAGTCAACTCGATTACATATGAGAAGAATTATACTGTCTTTAATATTAGGTTTAAATATTTACTCCAAATCTTAGACAAATTTAATCTTCAATTTAGTAGTTTTTGAATTAGACTCTCAAATGTATCTCTTGAAAGTTGTGTAGGTTTTAGTAGATTTCGAAGATAAAGTTAAATTTCAATATGATAACTTTTATTTTATTTTTAAAAAATATATTTATTTAAAATGTCAAATATACTAATATATATATATATATATATATATATATATATATATATATATATATATATATATATATATATATATATATATATATATATATATATATATATATATATATATATATATATATATATATATATATATATATATATATATATATATATATATATATATATATATATATATATATATATATATATATATATATATATATATATATATATATATATATATATATATATATATATATATATATATATATATATATATATATATATATATATATATATATATATATATATATATATATATATATATATATATATATATATATATATATATATATATATATATATATATATATATATATATATATATATATATATATATATATATATATATATATATATATATATATATATATATATATATATATATATATATATATATATATATATATATATATATATATATATATATATATATATATATATATATATATATATATATATATATATATATATATATATATATATATATATATATATATATATATATATATATATATATATATATATATATATATATATATATATATATATATATATATATATATATATATATATATATATATATATATATATATATATATATATATATATATATATATATATATATATATATATATATATATATATATATATATATATATATATATATATATATATATATATATATATATATATATATATATATATATATATATATATATATATATAAATAGTTTTTAAGTCTTTTTAAGTCCGTGAATCATGTGAGCTAAACCTAATGAGATGAACCTAACGAGTTGAACCGAAATGTTTGTGAACTTATAACGAGTCGAGTTTGAGCTTAAAAAAAAGTTCGTGTCGAACTCGAACTCGAACAATTCTTAACGAGTCGAGCCGAGCTGAGGTAAGTTCGACTCGACTCGACTCATTTTCAGCCCTAGTCATACGAAAAAAAAGAGCTAGAACTACATCTGTTAAAACGGAGTTGGATGTTTATTTGGATGAGGAAGTTTTACCAAGAAGTCCAGATTTTGATATTTTATTGTGGTGGAAGTTGAATGGCATTAAGTATCCAACACTTCAAGAAATTGCAAGGGATGTATTGGCAATTCCTGTGTTCTACTGTAGCTTCTAAATCCGCATTTAGTATAAGCGGTCATATAGTAAGCCCTCATCGAAGTCAACTTCATTGGACCACTTTGGAAGCTTTGATGTGCGCAAGAAGTTGGTTATGGAGTGTTGAGAATACTGGTAAGACATTTTTTGTTTTTATTTTTTATTTTTACTTGCCAAGACTATCACTAACTATATTTTACTATATTGATAGGTAATTTAAAATCTAACATGGGAAATGAAAATGCTATTTTACTCTCGGAAATGGAGTCTGATGATGAAGGTATTATTCATAATATTTGTATTTTTTGTGTGCATAATGTGTGTTTGACCCACTTTTGTGATTAGTAGTTAACTTAAAAGAATTATGCTTTTGTATTATAATAATATAAAGTATTCTTGTTTGTGGCAGTTATGATTTTTAGCAAGTAGGATATTATATAGCAAGTAGTTGTTTTTATAATTTTGTTCACTTTCTAGCAAGTAGCATATTATATATATATATATATATACTAGTTTGTATTAATATGTATAGATTAATTAATATATGTTTGGTATCAGTTTTTACTTACTACTAACTAGTATATATGTTTGGTACCAATTTCTTATTTTTATAATTTAGTTCACTTTCTAGTAAGTAGTATATTATATATATATATATATATATATATATATATATATATATATATATATATATATATATATATATATATATATATATATATATATATATATATATATATATATATATATATATGTGTATATATATATATATATATATATATATATATATATATATATATATATATATATATATATATATATATATATATATATATATATATATATATATATATATATATATATATATATATATATATATATATATATATATATATATATATATATATATATATATATATATATATATATATATATATATATATATATATATATATATATATATATATATATATATATATTTGACATGTGCATGCAAATGAGCTTTTTATTTAATAGATTTCATGTACCATCACCTCACTTGTGCTTGTTTTTATGTTTTAATTTTTACTTTTCAATACAGATGAGTTGTTGATCAATGGTGCTACTTCTATTTCCAACTCTCGCCTCGAAGATGAAGATTATTAGAAAATTTGTGATTTATTTGGAACCTTTTTTGTTACGGTGATTTAGTATATTTTGTTCCATGTTGTTAGATTGCTTCTTTTGTTGATTCTAGTATTTTACTTTTGTATTTGTACTTTGCAAAAAATTGTTGGTTGTTGTGAGTGATTTGTACTTCGATATATTGAAAGATTACACTCGTTTAATGAATCACAACCAATCATATTTGTGTAACTTTAAAAATATTATGATTAGAGTCAAATGTTTGGATTTGAGGGTTATGATTGAAAAAATATTTGTAACGGTGTTTAAATATTAAACCTTACGACTATTTACTCAAATTAAGGGTAGTTTTTATATTTTTGATGTGTTTATTCATATTTTCTAGATGATTTGTGAAATAAAAAAAATATATAATTTTTTCTTTAAAAAAAGCAGTTCTTTCGGGTGGGGGCGGGGAACCCGTTCTCTATTGGGGGCGGGTTTGGGGGTTAAATTTCTACCCCCGAACGGGTTTGGGGGCGGGTGCTGTAACACCCTTCTAATCTCCACGGAAAAATACATAATTAATCAGAGTAAATTAACATGCCTTCACAAAGGGCGTCACACATAATTACAAAATCTCAACATTCACCTGTCATACTCATGTAATATTGAATTAAATGGTCCTTATATTAAATTTTCATCTTGCATGAAGCAGCGGATTCAATTTGGTTTACATAACTCTTCACAGAAAATTCATGTTCATCACATAATCATCAACACTTAGGCACAGAGGCCATTATCACATATTTCAAATACATTTAAAACACAACTTAGAATATACAATATATCTCTAAGGCATAAACCTCGCGATCCCAGTGTTACATAACCAGAGCATGACTTGACCCAACATTATTAAATACTAATAGATGCACCAATAGCGACCTCGCAACTACTATCAGTACTACTCCTTGGTACCTGCACGATGTCATGTAGGACATCATTCCAGCAGAAGGGTGAGAAATATTACCATAATAATCAATGCATATAATTATGTATATAAACAATCATAAAATACATATATGCCACATTTCTCACCACATTTCATATTCAATTCACACATACTTCTCAATTACCTCATCATATAAACTAACATGGTTGATCATCAAGCATATTATCATGCATATAGCATACTTTCATACAACACTCACATACTCACCACTCTTAAATCAACATATCATGTATATATGCACATTTCTCCTAACAATCACATATTCATCATTTTCAATTACACAAGTCATATACACATTGTTGCACCCTAAAATTTGCTCAACCTTATTCACTTGGTTTATGTTTCAATATCATTAGCATTTGCATATAGAGGCATGTACATAGTCTAATCATCTGCATAGCATGGCATAGTGTTGCACCCTAAAATTTGCTCAACCTTATTCACTTGGTTTATGTTTCAATATCATTAACATTTGCATATAGGGTCATGCACATAGTCTACTCATCTGCATAGCATAAGCATAGCAAGTCATCCAACAGGGGACCAATCATTATTCTCATCTCTATGAGCCTATCAAGAGGTTATTATTCTAGTCCAACCTCATTCAAGTCATCAGAAAGAATTTGAAAGCTAAAGAGGTCAATAGATCAAGCAGTGCATCTATCTCTTATCTGAGGATATCTGGGGATCATCAAAGAAATTGTGAGTTGTGAATTGAAGGCATGGAGAGTATCTAGACAGTATGTAGGACTTAGAAAGTCATTTGGAGAAGGATACAAGTCATTGATATGATCACAAGAATTGCAGTTGAAGACAGTCAACTAGGGTTTCATCTGGGGTCAACTCTAGGTCAACTCTAGGTCAATTGACTGATTGAAGGACATTAAGGGCCATTGGAAAGATGTGGGGGTTCATCATTTGACATGTAAAGAAGGATATGTTGTTATGCTAAGAAGAAATCAAGAGAAATCAAGGAGAAGAGGAGTTTCTAAATTAGGGTTTCTGTGTAAAATCCCCTAATTTAGGTCAAGTTTCCAAGCAAGATAAGTCAAAATGCAAGCTTCAAATGGATCCTTGGCCAACATGAAACTTGTAGAGGATCTCAAGACCTTTAATTTAAGTGGTGGAAGACATTAAGGAGATTTATAGAACTCAAGTTATGGTCCTTGCAAGTTACAGGTCATCTGAGGTATCTGAAATTTTGTCTGTGAAAGTGACTTGACTTCCAAGCTATTTTTACCCCTCAAGGAGATTTCAAATGAATTTCTGGTAAACATAAGAATTGTTCCTCATTGTCTTAGATTTCTAGAATGGTATAGTATGCCTTCA